TTGAATGGAGATTCGTCCCCGAGAAACAACCCTTTCCAGCGTGATCCGACATGATCCTGTCACCCCGTCTTGATAGCACAGGCGGAAGTGTCACTTGAATGGAGATTCCTCCCCGAGAAACAACCCTTTCCAGCTTGATCCAACATGATCCTGTCACCCCGTCTTGATAGCACCAAAAGTCCTTTTAGCTTGCTGGCTTCCTGACGGCCCTTTGTTTGCTGAGTAAAACTTTCTGCATGGAGATTCATGGAAACCTAGGGAAGCCATGGCCCTTTGTCTTCCCTGGCTCTCAGGAGTGTATTCTTAAGATCTGGGTCCGCTGACCCAAACCAAGTAGATAGAAGGAAGGGTGACAGCATGACAATCTTAAGGAATGAGGACAAACCTACCTCCAGGTTTGTTGTTGAAGACCCGTTTGCTGTGTTTGGGGGAACTGAGAACCTGGAGCAGTCACTGACTTGGCCAGATCCCTGTATTGCCCCCTTTTCCCACTCTGTATGCTTGCAACTGGTTCCTAAGGCGCTCATTCTTTGACAGGTTTCTACTGCCCGCTCCAGACGGCCAGCCCCTTGCCATGTCCGGCGGGCACTCTGAACACCCTTGAGGGAGCTCTGTCCTTCCACGCTTGCAAGCCATGCCCCGTGGGGAGGTACTGCCGTCGGGATGCAAACTGGGAACCTGATGGTAAGGAATGCTGGGCAACCTGATTCTGAGGTAGAATGAATGGGGTCACTGTTTTCTAGCCTGAAGCCTTTTACAAATATATGAATATTTGCTCTATCTTTCTACTGGAAACAGATTCTGGGACTGTTTGGTTGTTGTGGTTTCAGCTATTGTGGAACTTAATGTTGTGATTTTCTAAGTTGTCCCAGAGTAGTGGCCTAGCCACTAGATAGGTGGGGTGGGAGTGTGTGGGTGGGTGGATTGTTTGGTTGGTTGGTTGGTTGGTTGGTTGGTTGGTTGGTTGGTTGGTTGGTTGGATGGATGGATGGATGGATGCTATCGGTCAGTCAGTCTGTAGACTGAATGGTCAAACCAGAACTTAGAAAAGTGTTTTTGGCTTTTGAATTTTTTTGGACAAGAACTGGACTTTGTTTATGTGACCACATCCCCTAAGGATCTGCTTGGTTTCCATTTGGTAGGTCTCTGCTCTCCCGGCTATTACTGCGCAGGAGGAGCTTCTGCTGCTGTCCCACAAAGTACACCTGATTTCCCCCTCAATGGGCCCTGCCCGCAGGGCCACTACTGTCCAGAAGGCACCTTGTCCCCTGTTGCCTGCCCAGTTGGCACACTGAACAATGCAACAGGTGAGTGCAGCCTGATCTGGTCCATTGGACTCCACTTTCAGATCCTGTTGGCTGTCCCAGTTTCCTTTCTCTGGATATAGGAAGCAAGTTTGCTATTTACCCTGAAAGGTTTGTGTCAGATCACTTCTCCCCTTCAGTAGTAGATAGCAGGGATGGGCCAAGATATTTTACTGCTTGAGACGGACGGACAGTGTTGTGTGGTGGCTAACAAATTGGACTGGAATGTAGGAGTTCCAGGTTCACGAACCTCTTGGGCCATGACACTCAATGGACAGCCTCTGGAGAGTCACACATTGTCACCAGAGCTACCTCATATATTGCATAATTTGTGTCCTGCTGGGGATAATAGCAGTGATTGAAGCCATTTTAATTGTGAAAACATGCAGAGGAAGATCCTCACCACAGAATAAATTGAACAGTTAAGTCCCATCTGGTTTCAACCCACCGAGTGAATGGGATTTACAAAAACTGTGACTTACTATTCAGCAGTTGGTTTGACAAGTCTTTTCTAGTTAGCAGTGGTATGTATGTATGTATGTATGCATGTACTGTAGGTATGTGTATACATATATATTTTGTGCCACTTCTGCGGCACCTTTGTTCCCACCGAGGGACACAAGACAACTCACATATGCAGTCTGTGGTTTTAGGTCTGTGTCTGATCCAAGTTTGCCCACAATGGCAACAAAGAGCATATTTTAATTTTTTTCTCTCAGTTTTAAAATGTAGGGAATCCTTTGCTCGTGGCTCCTGAGTGTCAGCTCTAGTTGATGGAGCTCTCCCTTGCTTGGGGATTGGTGGGCAGTTAGTTGCTTTATGCAGAATTGACCTCCGCCAGCTTCTCTTGTCCTACAGGAGGTTCCTCTCCGGACTGCTGTTTACCTTGTTCTCCAGGATTCTTCTGTGCTGGCTTGGGCTTGAGTTCACCTACTGGACCGTGCACTGCTGGCTTCTACTGTCCAGGAAACTTCAGCTCTTTCAGCCCTACTGCTTTCCTCTGTCCAGAGGTTTGTTCCATTAGCTATCACCCCATGCTCCTTCTCCATGCTCCTTCTCCATATTCAAATCAAGATAACCATTTATGCACTAACTCAGAAAGCTAATTGCAGTGGATACCTGCCCCCTTGGTGCTTGGAGCTAGACAAAATAACAAGAGCTTGGAAAAAGTTACTCTCTTTTTTTGGACTAAGATGCTCAGTATCCTTCAGGACTGCTGAACCCCACCCAACTCTGTAGACGACCTGAGGTTGCACACCAGAATGTTGACACAACCATTATTTTCTTCTTTGTTGGAAAATGCAAAACTGAATAAGAAACTGTCAAGCTTAGATCAAAGGAGCAGAACAATGTAATAAATGCCCTTCTGGATTAAGCCAGCTCGGGCAGCATCCTGCTTCCAATAGCCAGCCTAATGCATCAGGGAAGCTCACAAGAAGCTGAAAGCAATATGTACTTAGTCCCCCTACTCTGTATATTTGTAGTCATAAATCCCAACCACTAAGAGACTTTGAGAATCTGGGTTTGGAGAAAGCTCTTTCTGGTAACATCACTCCCAGAATCTCTCCCATCAGCATGGCTAGTATCCACTCTGCTAATTTTTCCTGGGTGTTGCTTCTGTCTCACCTAAATAGATCCGTTCTCTCTTTGATTCTCAGGGGCACTTCTGCCCATCGGGAGCCGCCTATCCATCCCCATGCCCCACCGGTCAATACCAACCAAACCGGGGGGCAGAGCAGTGTCTCCCCTGCCAAGCGGGCTTCTTCTGCCATGAGGCTTTCGCCGGACACCCGAAGCCCTGCCCGCCATGCTCGTATTGTCCTGCAGGTACAGAGATGTGGGGAAACACTTAACAAAAGCACTAGAACTCGCCAGCAGGAATTGTGTGGCCTGTTCCACTGGTCTACAGGTTTAACTGCAGATGGCAATCTTCCCTTGATTAAGCTGATGACTATGGGGGACGTGGTGGCACTGTGGGCTAAACCGCAGAAGCCTCTGCTGCAGGGTCAGAAGACCAGCAGTCATAAGATCGAATCCACGCGACGGAGGGAGCTCCCATTGCTTGTCCCAGCTCCCGCCAACCTAGCGGTTCGAAAGCATGCAAATGCGAGTAGATAAATAGGGACCACCTCGGTGGGAAGGTAACAGTGTTCTGTGTCTAAGTCACACTGGCTATGTGACCACGGAAGATTGTCTTTGGACAAAATGCTGGCTCTATGGCTTGGAAACAGGGATGAGCACCACCCCCTAGAGTCGAACACGACTGGACAAAAATTGTCAAGGGGAACCTTTACCTTTACCTTTACCTTGAAGACTATGAGGATTCCTGGCAGTAGCCAAAAGGTAAATCGAACTGAATCACACAATTAGAATTGCCGTAAGATCATCTTGACAGTGATATAGTTGGCTCATCTCCAATGTTGTGATGCTTGATTCATGTAGAGGCGAATGGAATAGAAAAAGCAAAGGTTTTCTTTCCCCAGAAATCCCTCATATATATTTTTTTCAGTTGATAAAATCCACTTTAGTGTAATGGACTGTTGAATGTTCCTGCTAGCGCAACCCAGTTGGCTAAAGCAGTCAATCTTTTTCTCAGCAATGTTAATCTGTCCCAGAAGACCACGTCTACTTCACTAATTTGTGTGGTTTTATATTCTTTCAGGTGCTTTGATCCCTCACCCGTGTCCTGATGGCACATTTACTCCCCTGGATGTGTCTGGTCTGCGTGAGGAACGAGAATGTTTACCTTGTCCCCCAGGTCACTACTGCAGGTTGTGAATTACTCCCACTCCATTAGCAAATGTAAATGGAGTTTTAATAGGTTGCTCTGCTTACCTCTTGCTTGTAATAGGATCGATATATTTGATGTGATTTGAAACAAATGCTTTCCGCTTTTCTTTGCCCCCAGAAGAATCCACCAAGCGGCCAACGGTGTAAAACGAGGGAGGAAAACAAGCTTAAGAAACAAAATATAAATAGATAGATAGGTAATTTATAGAGATGGGCACGAACGGGAAGTTCTGCCTCCACTGGGTGCTGCCTCTGAGTTGGCACCCACTGGGGAAGACAGTTGGGGAGTCGCACGGCTGCCTCTGAGTGGGTGACCACCGGAGGAGGTAGGGCTGAGAAGCAGGGCTCCCGCGGAGCAGCTGTGTGGCTGAATCACACTGAATCATTGGTTTGTCCCCCCCACACACACACATCTACAGATAAATAATCAGTAGATTAGGTTGTGGGGATGTTTCTTGAGCCAAGCCACCAAGGTAGGTGTTGTAGTTGAGTAGAGATTTGAACTTGCCATAATTTTCTGTGTATAAGATGCCCCCCCCCCACGGTTGAGTAGAGATTTGAACTTGCCATATTTTTCTGTGTATAAGACGCCCACCCACTTTTCTAACCCAAAAGGAAGAAATCTCAGTGGGACTTAGCAAGTGTAGGAAGAAAGGGATCAAAGCCCTGGAGGATCACTTTGATCCCTGCTTTCCCTTCCACTTGTTTTTTTCTCTCCTCAGCTTACTTCCGTGTATGACAACCCTCAATTTTTAGTCTAAAGATTTTAGACAAAAGTATAGTCTTATACACAGAAAAATGTGGTAGTTCTTTCCAGCCCAAGTTTGGTTTTTACATGTGCATGTGAGCTACATTTTGTGCATAAATGGCAAACATTGCTCTGGGAACTTCCCAAGGATGCCATTTTTTAAAAGTGCAAGACTAGCATCTGCTAGGATACGCAGGATGTCCTTCTGTTTTGGAGGTGTCCCTAGGCTAGGATTGTAAATCTTCACAGGTTCAAATGAAACTTTCAGAGGTTTTCTCTCTGTCCATTGAAATGACATGGGGGTTCTTTCTGTTTTCACATGTTGGTGTTTTTCTTCGGGAAGACGGAAGGAGTCTTGATTTTTTTAAAAAAACACAAGTATTTTGTGCAGAAAATGTGAAGGTTTTGTGAAGGAAATACATGTTTTTGCTATTGACTCTACAAACCAAAAAGGTCTGTGGACTCAGATGTGAAAGAACGTCTCAGCTATTGACTATTTTTTTCCAATAATGTTACTATGCCAAGACCATCTCTTTTGCACACATGCTTGCTCGCTCTCCCCCACCTGCCAAAAAAGATGAGAAAATGGGTCCATTTATCTGCTACGTTCTCAAGCTGGGCATTAAGGATGCCCATTTTCTACCCATCTGTTCCACCTGGAGTTTGGCAGCAGTGTTTGATAAACGGTTGTCCAGGTGACCCTGTCTTTCTGGTATATTGGTTTTGATGGTTGCCTTATCAAAGATGATGATGCAGAACACCATGAAAATTAATGTTGAGCAGTCGTGATATATATATAGATAGATATGGTGCATGAAATACTCCATCCCCTTTCCCATCTAAATAAAAGCCTGCTCTTTTCCTTCCACCAGAGGAGGACGGATTGAAGGAAGGTGTGCTTCTGGATTCTTCTGCCAAGAAGGAAGTTCTGATGCTACTCCACAAGGGCATAACTTCACGTGGAAACTTCTAGCTGATTGTCCTTGGGGTCAGGAGTGTGCCGGGCCCTGCCCAGCAGGTAACTGGCCAGATGGCCAGGGTATAAATCAAATAAATAAATAAATAAAATAAACATCTTTATGAGAGCTAAAGGTAAAAGTAAAAATTCAGAACAGGGACACAGATGGGGAAAAAGGGTTGTTGTTTTTAAAAAGAGTTTTCTGGGCAGTAGAAAAAGGAAAAATTCAGAACAGGGACAAAGATGGGGAAAAGGGGTTGTTTTTTTAAAAAGAGTTTTCTGGGCAGTAGAAGTTCCACATTGGTATTATACAGTACAATACTAAACATATTTATTCAGATATGCTGTAAGTATCATAGGGATCAATCAGTTTTCTCCTTTTCCTTTGAACTAAACTTTATTTTTGTCCCAGAGTCCAAAAAAGCTTCCTTTCCTTAATCACTGGGGAAAAAAAACAGGCCACTAAGTGTCAAATGACACATTGAGAGAAAAGCACATTTCCTGCCATTTCATTTTCCTTATAGGCAAGTAATTACTTCAAAGCTCCATGCCCGGGCAATTAGACTTTCAAATAAGTCATAAAACAAAAGCAAGCAACATGGGGATGAGGCTGCCTTGGACTAGGATAAAGAGACAGAGAGAATGGAGAATTTATTCTTTGGCCTACAAAGACATCCATCATCATCATCATCATCATCATCTTAAAACTGCAGACCTGGAAGGGACCCTATGGATCCTCAATTCCAGCCCCTGTCAGGGAGGGCCAGTGGGGGGAATCAAACTCCCAACCTCTGGTTCTGCAGTCAGGGACCTGAACCACTATCCAGTAAGGCTAGAATCAGAGTTGGGATCCTAAAGTTGGGATTCATTCTCTAAACTGTGGTCCTTGGAGCACAGGCAGTCTCGTGTAGCCATGTCTTTTCCAGGCAATCCGTATTCCATGCCATTGCAGAATGTCCCAAGATAATAGGACTCCAGGACAGTTGGTCCACTTCTTTGGAGAAGCTGTCCCTTTGTTTTGGGGTGTCCTATCTCTGATGAGTGTTGAAAATGGACAACAAGTGGGAAGAAACACAAGTCTCTGTCTTTGCTGTAAACAAGGGTATGTTTTCCTCCTGTTCCCAGGCTTTTACTGCCCTGAAGGCACAGAGACCCCCATCCCTTGTCCAGATGACACCATTGGTTCTGAGCCAGGCGCAAGGCAACAGGAAGACTGCCTGCCATGTCCAGCCGGTCGCTGGTGTAAAACAGGTTAGGACAGATGCCCAGAACCCATTCACAGATCACCAAGGCGGTGCTAATCTTCTCTTTCCCACTCCCTTCTGACTCATGATAGAAATCCTCATTTGTATTATGCATAGGAATGAGATGACACAAGCACTTTCTAGTTGCCTACCAGAGGGCTCAACATCTTCTGCATGTCTCCATGAGAGAGCTTGCATCTAGAAGGAAGTTTTTTCATGATTTTTGCCTTTTGACTCCTGAGCCAGCCCTTCCGTGCTTGCTGTGCACATGTGCCTTGCTTCACAAAATGAAAAGTTAATTAAATTGATATAGAGGTATTTTGCACAAATAGTGAAGCCTCCTGTGGTCGAAGAAAAGTGCTTGTTGTCTCATTCTCGCACTGGAGGCAGGAACTCGTGCAGGGGTCAGTGGAGCACCCAACAAGGTTTCTCACCACATCAAGTCAACCTCCTTGGTAAAGAAGAAAACGTTTTATGGGTGTTCTTCATTATCCTTCTTCCAATACCTCCCCAACCGCTTTTCCTTCCATAAAACCTGCAGACCCTATTCCTCGATGAATCCCCAGGATGCTTTATTATTCTCCATTATTCTCTCTTTCTAGGAAAAGCAGTGGCCTATCCATGCCCCTATGGGTCCCACTGCTATGGGATGAACCACACTGGCGCTGGCGGATCCCGGACTCTCCATCAATGTCCCAAGCAGGCTTTCCGAACCGAGCCAGGAACTGAAAGCCAATCAGATTGCCAACCTTGCTCATCAGACCATCAATGTCCTGGGACAGGTAACTTGCTGATTGACAGGCAAACTCTCAATTTAGTTGGCAAACCTCCTGTTCCATTCATGAATGGGCGATGAAGGAGCTAATGACCACAGAGGTCCTGGGTATGATTTTTTGAATTTCCAAGATGGCAAGTGTTTCCTCCTTCTTTTCCAGGTTTAAAATCTGTGTTAACTAGTCCTAATGGTTGCATCTTTTCATACCCACATAACACCAGAATCTGTTAGAATGGAAACTGCAACCTGGGTACGACAGTATTAGTGCAGACATTTCCATGATGAAGGTGCCATTCTCGTTGCATACACCCCACTGCCATTCTGTCTCATGTCTCCTAATTTGGCTTCTCTCCACTCATCCAACAGGTCCGATGGCCCTTAGAAACTACCCTTGCGCTCCAGGACATTGGTGTCCAGGAGGACAGGAAGCTTTCCTTTGTCCACCGGGATCCTTTAGGACTCAGCCTGGTGCTACTACTTTGGAGGAGTGTAGACCCTGCCCTTCTGGCTTCTATTGCCCAGATCCAGCAAAGACAGGCATCCCAAATACTCACGGAATACCTTGTGAACCAGGCTATGAATGCCCACCAGGTGAGATGCCATGACATGTTGAAACCTGAGTAGCACCGTTCCTAGCTGGACATTCTTCCAGTGACAGTTTTGCCCTTGGGAATGTCTACGATTAACCTTTAAGTTGCTGATTGGCAGTCTCTTTTAGAGGAAGAGCACTTTTGAAAGAAATTGACGGCCAGTGTCCTCCTACGTACATTGGCCAAAATGGCTTTCCAGCATGTTTATTATTATTAGAAACTGGCAAATGAGAAGCGGATAGGTAGTGTTCTTCAAGGAAGGAAGCATGGAGGCCCATCTCAAGCATTGTACTGGTTGAGTTTAATGATCGACCTACACTTTGTTTGTTGCGGTATTTCCTATGTACTCTTTAATGAAAGAGAAAGAGAGAAGAACGCAACTGGGGTTGGTTTAAAAAATATATATTCTAATCATGTTACCCCTAGCTGATGACTCTCCAGTTGTTACATCCACGAGTTCTATTGCTTCTTACCACTGACTAGGTAGAGATGATACTAGTGCTAGTCTAAAACATCTGGAAAGGGGATCCTAGTTTGAGAAAGGCTAAATAAATGATCAATAGATAAATAAATGCATGAGCCAGTGTTTACTCATGGAGGTATCAACTCAGATTTCTTTTACAAGCCATTGGATCTGTGGCTCTTTCTTTTTAAAAAAAGTCTATGTGACTAGTTAGTCTGTAATATTTAACCAATCCTTAGTACCATGGGGGGAATCACAGACCTATCCATACTGTGGAGAAACTGGTGTGTTTTGGATCTGGCAGAATGCTGGACCACCTCTAGTGTTTAACTCTGCTTACCATCAGGTTCACCCAGTCCTTCTGTATGCCGGCCTGGTTCTTTCTGTGGACCCCGTACAGGGATCCCACCTCTGTGCCCTGCTGGGTATTTTTGTCCTCAAGGGTCATCCATGTACAACATTCCTGGGCAGCTGTGAGTATTTTTCTGGAAGAATTAAAAATTTTGCACCATTCTGGAGGGGGGGGGAGGTCTGCTCTAGATCTAGCCATGGTATTCTGCATCCTCCATTCCCAAGACATTTTGTGGATTGCACAGAGAATATTTGAATATTTCCAGAATCTCCTACAGTTTTTTGTGAGTAGGACTCTTAAATCAGTGGAAGTGTTAAGGTGGAGACGATCTTCATATGGTTATCTACCTGTGCGGTGATTTGAATATTTACCCAAAAGTGAGTCCCATTAAATTCTGTGGGATTTACTTTCAGGTGTAAACCCGACATTCAAATAACTTTTATTTAAAGGGAATACTGGTCAAGAAGACCAGAAAATAGGATGGGATCTTTGCCCACAAAACCACACATCTTGTCAGGATGCAACCTGGCATATTTTTCCCGACAGGTTCCTTTTCCTTTTATCTCAGAGATAAGGGGCAATAAGGGGTTACTTGTAGTCCAGAGAGATCCTTCATGCAACGGAGCTTTGATTTGCACTCTGGAAAGCTATTGCATTGAAAATATCTCTTGGCATCAAGTCAAGGAAAGCTCTATAAGATGACGCTTCTTTTGCTGCCATGCTACAATCTTTGGCACCGGTTTTTGTCCATTGATGCTCAGAATATACTCAAAGACAAACCATCCAGGATTAGAAAAACAGGTTGAATTTTTCCCCCAGAGTTCTTATCATCCCTGTATTGTGTGGGTTCTCTGAGGGCATAGAAGTGGGCATAACGTTAGCAAGGGAATCGCTGACTTGTTGGGTCGGCAGACTGCTTAATTACCTGGCAGCTATTTCAAGAGATTTGATGTCTTGATCAAGAGAGGGTAGGGTCAAAATCATTCATTATTTGAGTGCAGCATTTATTTATTTATTGACGCTACCAAGGGAATCGCTGACTTGTTGGGTTGGCAGACCCCTTAATTACCTGGCAGCTTTTTCAAGAGATTTGATGTCTTGATCAAGGGAAGGTAGGGTCAAAATCATTCAGGATTTGAGTGCAGCATTTTTTTTACATTCAGAATCTGAATTCTAGACTGAAGTTTCACACACAGCGAGATTTTTAAAAGAAGTCATTGATTTGTTCTCACTCTAGGCAAAGGGAATTGGCATAGCTGGGAGAAGAGATTGGCCCTCTGGGCCATGGGGGGCAGCTGTCTGCCCCCTTGCTCTAGCCCCTTCCTGTCTCTATGTTGCAGGTGTGCCTACCCCCACTATTGCCCTCTGGGCAGTGCCCAACATTACATTCAGAATCTGAATTCTGGACTGAAGTTTCACACACGGCGAGATTTTTAAAAGAAGTCATTGATTTGTTCTCACTCTAGGCAAAGGGAATTGGCATAGCTGGGAGAAGAGATTGGCCCTCTGGGCCATGGGGGGCAGCTGTCTGCCCCCTTGCTCTAGCCCCTTCCTGTCTCTATGTTGCAGGTGTGCCTACCCCCACTATTGCCCTCTGGGCAGTGCCCAACCACTTCTTTGCCCAGCTGGCTATACTGCCCTGAACATGATCGGTCTCAGGGATTCCTTGGAGGACAGCTGCCAGGCCTGTGAGGTGGGCACCTATGGAGGCAATGGGGACACCCACCAACCCTGTTCACCTTGCCCACCAGGGTACAGTTGTCCAGCAGGTGATGATTTATGTGTTTGTGTGTGTGTATATATGTAAGGGACTTGTCGTGAACAAGAGAGAGAGAGAGTCGGAAAGACATGAAAAACCATGCTTGGTGGATCACAGTCTCTGTACTCCAGCATTCCATTCCTACAAGGGCAACCTGTTACGCTTCTGGCGCAGAGTAAATGAAGACACTTTACCAGTTCTTCTTTGACAGTTATATTTACATATATGTACACCAGGTGATGATTTATGTGTTTGTGTGTGTGTATATATGTAAGGTGCTTGTGAATAAGAGAGAGAGAGAGAGAGACAGAGTCAGAAAGACATGAAAAACCATGCTTGGTGGATCACAGTCTCTGTAGTCCAGCATTCCATTCCCACAAGGGCAACCACTTGCCTTTAGGACTCCCAAAGGGCAGGATGTGATCATAACACCAGCAGTAGCAGACATGATCAAGCTGCAAGTTGCTCTGCATGGTCTCAATTGGCACAGATTTAGCTACTCCCGTTTTAAATCTGTTCAAGCTGGCAACCATCGTTCTGTCTTGCAGTGGTGAATTCTGCAGTTGGCCATCAAAATAGTCCAGGGTCTTCCGGGCACTTTAAAAATGCCACCCGTAGAGCATCTTCTTCAAGAAATGCCCGCTTTAGAATGGGCCAGGATCCAAACAACTGTACAAAATGCTGTGTGTCCAAGAAGGCATTGGGATTTCTTTTTCTCAAACAGCAGAGTTATTTAGAGGAAAGCTGGGGAGAGACAGGAAAGCATCCAGCAGGGTCTCTCTGGCCTTTCCTTAGTGAACTGCCCGGTCATTCCCCTTCACGAAGTGAAATCAGCCACGCACAGCCTGTCCTGCACCCCTTAGGCCAGCCTGCAGTCTGCAGAGATGCAATCTGGGATACTGTACCCTTGCAAGCAAGGAGGTCAGATCCAGTCTGGTTGGCTTCTGTGGACAGAATATGGGATAACAGCGGCTCATCCCGCTTGGCAGCAAAAGATCTTGGACCAGGCCTGTATCAATGGGTGGTTTTGGCTACTGGTTTATCATGGCCCAGCCTTGCACTCTGCAATCACCTGTGTGTGAACATTCATGTTTTCTTGACCTCAGTGAGGCTCTTGTGGTTTACAGCCCCTCAATCTAAGAGGTGCCCCCTTCTTTCTCCTGCCTGCCCAGGAACAGCAAGTTATCTCCAGCATCCTTGCCCCAAAGGATATTACTGCCCAGCCCAGACCTCCTTGCCAGTGCCGTGCCCTCCTGGAACATACGGGAACAGCAGCCTAGCTAAGGAGAGAGAGGCATGCCACCCCTGCCCAGCTCAAACGTTTAATCACCTCCTGGCTCAAACAGGATGTTTTCCTTGTGGGAGTTCCTCAACATCTCACTCAGGTAAGCTATGTTCTCTCTAAATGGGACACTTGATCTGGGTGGATTCATAGAAATTTCTCGCTCAGAAAGTACATGCTTTAAACACACACAACACATGCACATTTTGCCTTTAGGTCCACAAATCCTTTGTGGGCAAGGGTAGTCTTGGTTCATCTCAAACTTCATCAGTTGTTTCCTCCTCCTCCTGCAAGATCAGTAGGACCCCTTTCTCCCAAGACCCCTATCCTCAACCTTACCTTTGAGAAGGGTCAGGAGGAACGGAGGAAGTGGGGACTTGGCAGAGATAGGAAGAACCTTGTCATCTGCTCCATAAATGGCACTGGGAATATTCTCTCTAGTGAGTCTTTGCTTTTTGCCAATTTCGCCTTCCTCCATCTCATAAATCAGAGAGTTTTCTTTTCTTTGGGGCCGGAGGATAGAGCGAAGGAACTGGGGAAATCCCAGGTGAAAGTCAACAAAACTTTAGGGGAGCGTTTCTTAAAACTGGTCTGCTGAGAGCAGAGATCGTGTGTCTCCTTCATTGTTCAAGTCTTGCTCCTGTCACTGCTTTTTTTTTTCCCATGAGCCAAGGTATGAAAGTTCTCTGTTCTCTAATTGTGAGCCCATGTTTAATGATCTTGACTTGAGTCAACAGGAACGGTTGGCATGAAGGTTGTGTTCCTTCAACTGCCTACTTTCAGTTTCAGATTTAGAATGGGCTTGAACCTTTCCAGGAGGGGAGGGTGAAGGTACCACCCTCATATATTCCTTACTGAGGAAGATTGTTTTCTTGGGTTTTGCTACCATATCTGAGTGATAATCTTCTGTCCTCTCAAGGTGCTACCAGCTGTACTTGCCGGGGCCTCCATCGGACTTTCCAGGAATCTGATGGGTCTTGCATCTGCCAAGTGGGATACCTTTACTATGATGAAAGAGGACTGAAAACACCGGATAGCAATAGTGACCAAGACTGCCAGCCTCAGGTGATAGATACACTGAGGAGGAGGAGGAGGCTGCTCTACTTGAGTAGATTCCTGCATGTCTGAATTTCTGTTGGTTCCCGACTTGCCCTCTTTATAAGACTTTCAGCCAGATTGATTTGTTTTTTCCCCTCCTTATGCAGGTGGAAGAGCGCTGTGGTCCTGGAGAGATCCGCCTAGCATCCAACAGACAATGCGTCTTCCCTGAGTTGTATAACTGCTCCCCGGTCTGTTACCCAGTGAATGGAGAAGTCCATGCTGAGCTTGGCATGTAAGCATATATATTTTTTGAGGCATTGGTAAAGCAAGCTCTTCTTCCTTGCATTTGTGAAAATTCTTAGGGAGAATCCTAAAGGAACAAAAGCTGGTTTTACAGGCAGCAAGAGAACTTTGACCATTGCTCGGTTTTGCATGGAAGAATCAGTCAAGCGAGGGCTTACATTTGTAAAGAATGTGGGAGGCACCTGAAATTCCATACACAAATGTGTTTGGAAATAGATGCATGCATGGACTCCATGGATAGCCCAGATCAGCTGCTGCTCTCCGTTAAGTGTTGCGCTCTATGATGCACCCACATTTTCTGCTATATAATCTGCTGAAAGGTTCTACCTTTCAGCTGCATTGACCCTTTTTGTGCAGTTAACATGGCTTTTGGACCGACATTTTATCAGATCTCTGTTGGCAAGGCAGGGGACCGCATTTCCTAACATCAGGATTGAGCTGTAGGTAAATGTGTTGCAAGGAGCCAAGGGTCAGAAGCTGGAGTCTCCAAGACAATGGAAGCAGGTCTTCTCCAGATAAAGTTCTACCATCTCTCAGAAGGCCTTCCAGGCCAGAGGAAGCAGGGAACAGTCAGTCCCCATGAAAGGTGCTTGTGCAAAGCCTCGAAGCATTACTGCTGGCCACCTGATTCATGAAAGTAAATACAGTAGTTTAAAAGTTTGCCTTCTCTCGGAACAAGGATTAAACAAGGCTCTCTGGTCCTCTCTGGCCCAAGGTGTCACTGCGAGCGGTACATCTCTGCTGAAGAAATCTGCGACCGGCTGTGTTTGTTGAGATCTCCGCAGGTGTCCTTGAGGTTCAACACAGAAGGGGAGCTGCTCCTTAAGGTCGAGGGAAATGGAGAAAGAGTAAGTAGAGGATGCACAGGATTGGAGAGGAACTCTGCATGCAGTAGAATAAGCTGAGAACTCAGAGTCCCCCTGTGACCTGGGTTTTAAAGCTCCAGGGTGTGCTGTTCTATGGGGGATTTGGGGAATTGTTTCCACGCAAGCCCCTGTCCCAGGTGCCTTTCATCAAGTTTCCTCATGAAAGTTTAGCTTGGTTTCAGGCCTCAGCCAGAAGGCCCAATTTGAAATCCCTCCTCAAATGTCAGAATTCACTGGTAGCCTTGTACAAATGACTCAATCTCTCACTCTTTCTCAAGAAACCTGATTGTCAGTGATCAGTGTGCTTTATAGCAGTTGGGTAACAGTCTTCTCCATGTACGCTTAGCATGTAGAGCCATGCAGAGAAAATTAGTGGCTCTGCCTGCTTGGAAAAAAAAATCCTTGTGAACCGTTACTGATATTTTGGAAAGCATGGAAAGAAAGCATGGGTAAATTATGTGTCCCCTTTCCTCATTCTTGGCCCCCTTCGGGGTATAGTGCCTCTGCCTGCTTGGAAAAAAAATCCTTATGAACCGCTACTGATATTTTGGAAAACATGGAAAGAAAGCATAGGTAATTATGTGTCTCCTTTCCTCATTCTTGGCCCCCTTCGGGGTGTGAAGGAGGTCTTAAAGCGGTGCCATGGCTAATAATTCCTCCATTGGTGCTGTGCTTTCCAGGAGATACCAAACACGCTGGGACCTGATGAACATATTCTCCAAAGCGAGCAGGTCCGCTTGGCTCTCTTCAGCCCCAGTGGAGTTTTCGGCTTCCTTCTTTCCAGCCCGGACATGCTTGATGCTTTCCTGTCAGGTGAGATATTGGGATTGTCCTAGAAGAAGGTCCACAGGGCAGGCCTCAGAGAAAGGACTGCTGTGCTCCTTAATTTAGGGGACGCTTCCAGAGTGCCACGCCCAAGTGACAGTCATTTCTTCTTTCTTTCGTTTGTTCAACCAAATTAATTCCCTACATTGGACCATCAGTGTTCCCAAAGCAGCTTTGCATTCACATCCCTCGGTAAACAGTCTTGTTCTCATCAATTGTGTCATCAGTTCTCACTTCTTCTTAACTGAGAAGTTCACCTCTCCTTAAAAAAATTAAAGCCATCCCTTACCTGTGAAAACTGGAAGCCTCTTCATCTTTGGAGAGACGGCAGTATTGAACACTGAAGTCTTGCCCCCTACCTTATCAAACCCTTTAAAGCGCCATCTGTGTAGTAAACAGCCATATGGACATGAGATAGGTCTTCATAAATCCCATGGACTGAGTCATCTGCCCACAACCCCCAACACAGACAGTTTGAATACATGATCATTTACAGTGGTGCCTCACTAGACGATGATAATCCATTCCACTGAAATTGCTGTTTAGAGAAATCATCATCATGTATTGAAACCTGTTTAATGCATTCCAATGGGGAAGAATCGTTGTTGTCTAGTAAAGATCGGCCATAGAAAAGCTGCTTTACGAACCACCGATCAGCTGTTTAAATCGCTATCTTGAGAAGCTTAGGTCCCGAAAACACCCGTTTTGCAAGCATGGAGGGAGCTGTCAAAATCGTCTAGTGAAAATTGGTTTGCGAAGCAGGGACCAAATATTGTCCAGCGAAATTCCCCCATAGGAATCACTGTTTTGCGAATCGCTATAGCGATCGCAAAAAGTCAATGTCTAGTGAAAAAACTGTCATGTGAGGTAACTGTCTAGCGAGGCACCACTGTATCTTTTGGATAGTTTATGTTTGTGGGGTCATCAGTTAATGACAGTGACCATTACACAAGCGAATACGCAAAACCAGACCTAAATTCATGAAAAGATCATTCATATCTCTCCAGACATCATGCTTTAGAATGGATCCAGTCCAAACAGTCAGTGTGAGAGGCAGAAGTTAAATAAAAGACTTCTGTTTGGGTCAGAACCCATGGTCCAGCATCTTGTCCAGTCAAGAAACAAAAGAAATCACGTTCCATTGACTTGGACTCTTCCCTCTGGATTTTCATCATCTTTTCTGGTCCAGGAGAATTGGAGCTGCTCCATCAGGGCAAAAGACGTCGGCGAGATGAAGAGGCTGCATCATCTCAACCTTCTCCTCCCTTACCCGCCATCCCAAACCCAGTTGCGTGTCTGTCTGTGGGAGACGCAATCCTTTTCCAGCTCAGCATCAATCCTCATGGCAAGTATATGCAACCGTACTTGGTGGCCGGCCATGCTGTGGCCATAGGCCATCTAAAAATTTAGTGGGATTAAAATGATCGTGGCTGAAACAAGCTGTTCCACTTTAAAACAAGATGCACAGGGAGCATAACCCTGCTCTTCAGATACACTTGCCAAATGTGAAGTCAGACCATAGTCACTATAGTGTGGGTTTTCCAGTGCTCTCCATCATAATATGGGCAGTATTTTTTACTGGAATAAGATATTCCACATGTTTATCTTGGTAATAGTTGTCTATACTTGCCCTAAAAGCAAAAAAATACTGCCCTAGACAAGGAGTGGAGTTCTTGTTTTTGTGTCATGTCTCATGGGGTGGGGTGGGATTATCCCAGCTGTCAGCCAATCAGCTCTCTTCATAGCTGCCTAGCAATGAGAGGGAGATGGCTTTGTGACCATGACAAAGGCCAGCCAATCAACACCCTGCAGGTCAGAAGGAAGAGAGGAGGTGAGGAGGTGGCTTGTGAGCACGATCCATATCACCCCTGTCAAGCTGCCTGGGAAGGAAAGAGGGGAAGGTGGCTTTTTGTTTGTGATGGTATTGAGCCAGCTACTGCTGGAAGATGAAAGACCCCATTGCTCGTAAACTTAAATCTCTTAGGAAGACCATCTTCCTGGCCAAAAAGGGGAGAGTATGTAGCTGCCCGTATGTATGCTAACATAGAGCTTTAGCTTGGCTTCTTACCCATCGAAGACTGTTTGAATGGTGTTGACTTCAGACCTGTTCTTGCCAGACCGAGCCTCCAGTCACTATCCTGTCTATCAGAAGGAGCATCTCTACAACACCAACACCAACTGGGATTTTGGCGCATTCCGAAGACTGGACCACCTCATTCAAGAGACCCAACTCAACCTCTCCAGGTATCCTCTGGTGCTCTGGTCCACACAGTGCTTGAAGAAAAATGTTTTCCCTGTTTCAGAATCTCTGTCTTCTTGTTCGGTTATGCATTGATAGAACACAGGACAGCAAACCACTTTCAATTTTTTAAAAAACCAACTGCTTTGGCTGTTTTTCAGGTTCGCGCACGTTTTCTTAGAACCTGGGACGTATGTCTTCCGCGACAATGCCATTAAAGAACGGATGTTAATTGTGGTGGTGAACGAGGAGAACACTGGTTGTGATCCCCTCGCAGCTTCCTTCCAGCCTTCCTCTCCCTACCAGCTGGCTCGGCACAGGGTCCGGAAGCGCCAAGTCCAAAATGTAGCCCCAGATTGGGCAGCGATTTCAGGTACAGCGACTGGGACGACGTTTGATCTTTTGCACTCGTAATGTTAATATTTTTGTCACTTAAGGAATTTCACCACTGTACCAAACTTAAATTTGCATTTCAGAATAACCAATCATGAATTATGATTGAAGGAAATAATGTGCCTTCTCTTTTTTTCCCATCTACAGAGATTTCCTCTATGTCTAAAGACAAAAGATCATAGACACAGCCATAATTGGGCTCAAAACTAGTTTGCTTTAGCTCCGCTGTGGATGGACTCTTCAGCTCAATAACAGATGTTCTTTTTCCATTTCTAACATTTCTGCTGATCCAAAATCCCAAAGAGCAGAGCTGGGAATGTTCCTTTTAAGAAGAAGGAATACAATGACATGCTGTAGTCATTCATCACTAAACAGTGGTAAGATGGTGTTCTGCATCCCAGAGCACTATCTTTCCATTCTTTGGTTCTGGATGGCTTTATCACATCATTATATGCATTTCTCTTAAAGGAACTTTCCATGCTTGGCTAAAGAGAGCAGACCTTATATGTTGATTGTCCAGTCCATGTGGGAGATGCGGTGTCTGGAGGCAGTCAGTTAAACCAGTCAGACAGGGAGAGTACCCTGTGGGTTGCACCACTTAAGAGAGAGATGAATCACAACCGTAGACCATAATCCTCATGTAAGTCCTTAATGATGGTTGAACTAAAGGTGTCCTGAAGAGACTTGCTAGGACATCCCACCAATGGAGAAGATGCATTTGGGTGAAGTTACAAGAAGGTCTTCCTGGTGGCTTCACCAAGGCTTTATAATAGTCTCTTTAGAGGCACTGTGTTGATGGTTTTTTTTTTAAATCACTGGTGCGAATCCTGTTGGTGCTTTGACCTGCAGTATTTGGAAGGTTGCACTTTGCCCACCCCCTCTGTAGACTTTAACCTGCTTATGGTCAGCGGGGTCACAAAAATTAGTGTAAGGCAATGGGATACACCAAGCCATGGAGAAATGCAAGGAAATGCATGGTCTGCTTTGGATGATATCAGGGTGGAGTGGAGCAGGAAGGAAACAGAGTCCTTCCCTACCTGACCAATGCAGGGACTCTGCCCAGGAATCATGCTGGTTGGCTAGCATCCTTTAATCACCACCCAATTTGGCCTGTCTTTTCCAGCTGTTCTTTTCATCCTTGGTTTCCTGACAGTGGTGCTGACAGGCCTAGTTGTGCTCCTGAGGCATCCCAGCTCTACTCCGAATCCCATGAAGAGCTGGAAGCCACGGTGGAGAAGCTTGGGAGAGCCACACATCCCACCCGAATACGTACTCATTAAAGAAAGGTAGGTGATGAAAACGTCAGGTGAACACTCAAGGAATTTATTTCCTGCTGATAAAACAGTGCTTCCCTCCTGATTACTTGCAGTCAGGCCTTCAAGGGAAGCCACTCTTTATCGTCCCAATGATCAGTTACATTGCTGATTCTAACATGCCATTACAGTTAGATATGTTTTGCCACTTGAGGGAGCACTGTTTGCAATTAAGGAATGAGGGCATTGCCTTGTTTGGCATTTATTCAGTAAGCTATTGTGAGCAGTAGCCAGTTCCAACCAATACTTTCAGCTAGGTTTGTCCAGATATGGTAGTAAAACAGGCTCCCCAAAGTAAATGAAAGTAAAATAATAAAATGCAGCTTTTTCCCAGCACAGAGAAACCCACATACTCAACTGAGGCCATGAGTTCGAATGTTTGTTGACTGCATTTACACGGGTGGTCTTCAGTCGGTCACCTCTTCTGTGCCTCATTTCCCCATCTATATACTGTAGATGATAGTGAACCTCCACAATGTTAAGTGGAAGAATAAAATAATACACTCCTTTATTTTATTTTTTTATATTTTACACCTGCCAACGTTCTATATTCTGTTTTATCACTTACAGGATCTTCTGGGTTAGATAAACTTTTGCTCTGATCTCACAGGGCTGTCCAGATGTTCTTAGGTATAGATGCAAATCTTTACTTGTGAAATCACAATTTTTTTTTCTTCTTTCCAAAAAGACAAAGATATTTTCCCGGTACTCTTCAGATTGCACAAACTGTACAAATTCTGCAAAACATGCATGGACCTTTTAAGCATTAGAAGCATCAGATGGGGTTGTTGTGTCTTTTTCATCAGTCGGTTGGGCCTCCTCAACTTGTTGTTTGTGTTTTTGAATCGCAAAGGAGGGGGGGGGCGCCGCTAGGTTTGCACAGGAACATTTCACACAGATTGTAGATCCATGCAAAGGAAAGAAAGCTAGATGGCTCACTGAGGTGGAGAGTCTGTCAGGGGTTGGGAGTTCAACTCCCCACTGCGCCTCCTGGGATAAGAGCCATGATGTGTATAAAAGAAAGCACTCTTTGTCACGTTTGCAAGCGGGAAGATTTGTTAGTGTTCTTCAAATGGTTGTTTTCATGTGTATTTTCTCCCCTGGTTTTATAGCCTCCAGTTCTATGAAATTATTGGTCCCCGAGGTTCTGGAGAAGAACCTGATGGTAGAGAAGATTTTCCTGAAATCGGTAAGGTCCTGAATGGAGCATTAGGCTCGGGACTTTTCCAGGCGTGTGAATATTCCATACTTTTCCTTAACTATGCCTTCAATCAAGGTGGTTTTATCTCCACCTGTGGCATCAGAAGATGTTTCTTGTGCCGTTAAGAAAACTCTTCCTTGAAAAACTGGTTTCCAAGAATCTTGTCCACGAATTACAAACAGAGGCAGCATCTGGTTCCTCCCCAAAGGGAGCAAATTACACGCCATTTGTTCTTCACATGCAAATCCCTTAGAAATTTTTATAGATAAACATCTCAGGGGCTCTGAGTGCACATGTGAAAATGGAAAGCTTGACCAACAGGTTTGCTTCATCCTCATATATCCATGGAAGAAATAGGATCAGGTTTACCATCTAATGGGTGAAAACACCGTCAGGGTTACTTTGGATAGCCCTGTAATTCAGGTGAACATTACTCTTTTGAAGATGCTACAAACTGGAAAGGCGCAAAATTTTGTTCTGGCATGAATGTTTGCAATTCATAAAGTATATATACTTACCCTGTTGAATCACTCTTCCAACTGAAGAATAGGGTTCCCCTGGCTTACAATGCTTAATGATGCTTCATGAATAGCTTTTTTGTCTCCTGTCTGATTAGGGGCATAAGCCTGTGAGGTCTACAAGGAAAAGTGACTTACTAAAGGTCATGCAGGAAGACAGCTATCCAGCAGGTGGTGGTGTTTCCACCCGTAGAGAACAGCTGGGCTGTAAAAGCAGAAGCTACGGCTATACACCGTTCCATTTAAAAAAAATTATCTCGTGTATTTCGAGGCACACATATTATAGATAAAAATCTCAGGGGCTTTGAGTGCACATGAGAAAATGGAAAGCTTGACCAACAGGTTTGCATCATCCTCGTATATCCATAGAAGAATTAGGATCAGGTTTACCATGGGTGAAAAAACTGTCAGGGTTACTTTGCATAGCCCTGTAATTCAGGTGAACATTCCTCTTCTGGAGATGCTGTAAACTCTGAATATGCAGAATTTTGCCCTGGCATGAATGTTTGCAATTCGTAAAGTGTATATATTGGTGTTTTGACAATGACAGTCATTGAAATTTATGCCACGCGTTACTTCTAAGGGACAAAATAATACTGTGGATGCCAGCAGATTATTCTCATAGGCTGAGAAAGAGAAAGAGAGAGAGAGAGAGAATTAAACTCTGAGCCCCAGAAACTGCAGCAGAACTGAAGTAAAGAATTGACAGGTGCCTCATTCGCAGAGGGAGAATAAAGCAAACCAAATGTCCTGGCACATTAAGTGTACTTTATGCTTGGCTAATAATAGCTTATAATTAGTGCTTTGCAATAATCTCAGGCACCTCACAGAGGACATTGTGGAAGCTATCAAGACTTGCCTCCTATTTAGAATTTTCTGGAAAGAAACGTATTTCATGGTGGCTGTAGGTTTCTCAGGCTGTTTGGCCGTGTTCCGCAGGTTTTTGTTCCTAGCGTTTTGCCAGTCTCTGCGGCTGGCATCTTCAGAGGACAGGAGTTAGAAGACAGACAGAGATCCGTGTCTAGACCACGGAGGATTGTCTGTGGATAAACGCTAGCTTTACAGGTTGGAAACGGAGATGAGCACCGCCACCTAGAGGCAGACACGACTGGACAAATTGTCAAGGGGAACCTTTACCTTTACCTAAGATTCAAGGGGAGGAAAATGTCTTTGTTTCAGGAGACCGCTGCCCCGTAGGAGACCTGGAAGGTTTCAGCGTCCGCACTTTATATGACAAACTGGAGGATCAGAACCTGCATCTGGCATCACAGCTGGCGAAACACCGGGCAGACATTCTGGTGTTTTACCAAGGGATCAGCCAGAAGATCCAGAGCCTTTTGGTCAGTCCCTTTTGGACTGTGAACCACGTGAAGTATAACAAATGTCACCCTGGACCTGCCCTTCGACGTAAAGCTACCATTATTGGTTTCATTCATTTGTTTTGTCTTAGCTTGGGGTTTCTCGGCACAACGACACATTGCGAATAAGTTTGCTTTTTGTCCAGAGGTTTAGCTGTCGGGAGATCAATATGGCTCTGTTTGCAAGTTGAGTGTGAAAAAACAGGGTAGCTTTGAAGGACAGCAGTCTTTGGAGGGAATATGTTGTCGCACCTTCTAATTGAGAAGCTTGCATCTCCCCTGGTATGGTTTATTGTGGTCAGCAGAGCAGAGCGCTCCAGGAGGGGCTTGGTTAGGATACTTAAAAGGCTGTTACTCAGTGTAGAGGAGAGCAATAGAGCAGACGTGTAACCTGATCTGTCATCAAAACAATTTGCCGATTTCTGTACTTCTACATTATTCACAAAGAAGGGACTTTTGCCATAGTCTAGTAATTGTACAAGATGGGCTGACCTTTGCCAAGCCCCTGTCTCTGTTAGCTTACCCAGTGGCAGGCAATATTTGGTACCTCTTCTCTCTGAACTGTTTCTATCTGAGCTGGGTGTTACAGGAACTTTTAAACTATGATTTAGTGCCTGATGGGTGTGTTTTTCCTTTTCCCTCCCGACGACTCTTCCTTTTGTGCTGTTTCTTTACATTTTAAACCTGAAAGTGGGGAGTATCTCATGACTGATCTTTGTAAGGGGCTCTGGGGAACATTTCATCCAAAGAGCAAGGTAAGATAGGTTTGGAGGAATGAATAAAAGTGATAGATAGTTATGGGTTCTTCCCTCTTTTTCTAGGATATGGTACAGACACTTGACCTAGATGAATTGAAAGGCTCCCAGGGGGCTGAGATGTCCAGAATGAGAACTCAGGTCACTTCCAGTCCTGCCAAGGAGTCTCCACCAAGTGAAAATTCTACTGCAAAGCTCTCTGGGGTCTTGCAAGCGATGGGCTACTCAGGTGAGGGACCAGGAAAGAGAGAGAGAGAAAAAATGTGCATCTACTGTACACTGAAGGGCAAAGATATTTTAAATTTCTGCAAGTACCAAAAAGTCTACTCAAATGTGACAGAGAACAGCAGGTCTTTTTAGACTTCCACCTTTTCCTTTACACCTTTTTAACATTGTGCCTGAATTCTCTGAACACTTTGCAAGGAGGCTAGTGAGAAGGGCCTTTGTACAAAGGCCTTTGATTTAGTTAGCAGGGACGGCCTTTTTAAAATACTTCCCAAGACTGGATGTCCACTTCGACTCCTTAACATCATTGGGTCTTTTCATGAGGAAATGAAGGGCACTGTAGTTTTTGATGACTCAACATCAGATCCCTTTGACATCCGAAGCGGAGTGAAACAGTGCTGTGTCCTTGCACCAACTCTGTTTGGGATCTTTTTTGCTGTCATGCTGAAGCACGCCTTTGGAACTGCAACAGAAGGTGTCTATCTCCAGACTAGATCAGAGGGAAAGCTCTTTAATCTCTCTAGACTCAGAGCAAAGACCAAAGTCCAGCTGAAATGCATGCGGGACTTCCTCTTTGCCGATGATGCAGCCATTGTTGCCCATTCTGCTGAAGTGACGGGATTCACAGAGCAGAATAGCCTCATGTTCCCCAGATTAGTCTGTTCTTTTTCTTGTCAAGTGGCACTTATAGTCTTAATAACTCACTTAATGACATTTACAAGAGAAAGAATAAAAAGTTTCAATTACTTACAGTTGAACAGATTAAACAGCAAACTAGCAAGCAGGACTGCTTTCAAAAACACATCTCAATAGACTAAATAGAGGGGGGAAAGCTCTCAGCAGAGAGGGTGGGCTCTCTTCAAATTAAGAGGCAGGGAAGGAACAATCGGTTACTGTTGGATAGGCTGACAGTCACCCCAGACCAGAAAGGTCCCTCCCAGAAAACATCTATTAAAGGCAGCACACGAGGTTGCAAAAACTCCAGCGTATACTACAACTCCAATTATCCAATAGCCATGCTGGCTGGGAAGGATGGGAAACATAGCTGGCAACACCTAGAGGGTTCAGGGATAGAAAAGGCTAACTAAGACATGTCTGGACTCTGGAGCAAATGGAGGAAAAGCCACTCCTTGTGTTTCCAAAGATGATCTGAATAAGCATATCACTCAGATAAATGTTATTATTATTTTTTTCTTTCTAGGTTGTGAGTGGCAGGAGGCCACGGACCTCATGAAAGCCCTGGGGATGGTGCTACAAAAAATCTATTATGGGAAAGTGACCGCAAAACAAGAAAGGGGGCAGGGACCCAGTGGGGCTGGTGGGTCCAGCCCGGCTGTGCGTGAGCACACAGGAATTCAGCCTGGCTGGCACCAGCCGCTTGTGGCGTCCGATGGGAAAAGAGCTTGGTGTGAAGACACAGGTAAGGAGATGGCCCTTTGAGCTGGTGACAGCAGTGGGGCGATGAGCCTGCAGCCCCCTCCAGCCCTATCCAACATGGCCAGAGATGATGGGAGGTTTTCTGAAATAGTGTCTGCCGGACCGCAGGCTGGCTATTACTGCTACTGATATCAGTCCATATCTGCTTGTGTCTGGAGGCCAGTGTCAAAGGAGAGACATATAAAGAGATGGAGAGGGTGTGTTAGTGAAATGTGCAACATAGTTAGTGAGATCCCCTCCTACTATGGAATGCTGGGACTTGCAGTTTGGTGAGACGCCTGGAATTTTCTTTTTGCAGAATCCCTGAATTACAAGAGGTAGAGCTCTCTGATGAAGCATTCTGCCTACTTTACCAAACTGGAAACCCCACAAATACATCAGATGGAGCCATGGCAAGAACCCCATTCTTGCCACCCTTAGCAACACAGCAACTAATTAGGGTTCGGCAGTAGGATCTTAGAAACTTCAAAATAAACTCTTTTTAAAAAAATATATATAGTGTTGTTCTGGTTTCTCTAAATTTCAGTCATGCATAGTTGTTTGAAGCCTAGGGAAAGGGTGCTGCAGGAGAAAATGTTCCATTCTTTCTTATCTTGAGCCATTCTTTTTTCTAAAAACCTTCCCCAACATTCAAAACACATGCATGTTTGTTAAGAGCAGACTCTTCTCTTCTCTAAATAAAACCTTCCCCAAGATTCAGAAACACATGCATGTTTGTTAAGAGCAGACTATAGGAGAATGTAGGCAGAGGAGGGGAGGGAAGGGTTTTCCACCCCCTCCCACAGCACCCAACCCCACTCTGTTAAGTAGCAAAACCATGTAGTACCTACTGTGCCATGTTAAGTTGGGGCCATCCTGTTGTTGGAAGCTGGCGTTCCTCCCAGTCACCAGGAGGTGGCAACAAACACCATGTTGAATCCGGTAGGTTGAAGAGCATCCCCAATGCACTGGGTCATTTTTAGAGAGATGCCAGGCTCCATGGTGATGACCGTATCTTACATAACAGCCCCCTTGTCTGTTCGGTCAGCTGCAGAAAGCCTTGGTCCCTACGAACACCACCGTGGGGTGATGCGTCTTGTCTCTATTTGTTAGGGTTGGATCTGCAGGCTCACAACAGCACCATGATGGCCTGCATAAGTGAGCTACAAGTGGAGGCGCTGATGGCTACATCTCCCCTTGCCAGGACCCTGCAGGAGATTAAGCGGTTTTTGGAAGCCTCGCAGCAGCCCCTTTGCTCTCCTCCTCCTCCTCCTCTTCCAGGTGATGAAAACCGACAGTTTCTTGGATTTCCTGCATGGTGCCAATCAAGCCTGCGATACTCATCATCTCCCCAAACAGGGAGTCCAAACAATATTTTATTTAAAATATTATGACCCTGTGTTTCTCCTTAAGAAGTACTCAAGGCGGCGTACATCATTAAAAGACAGTATTCAGAGCTGTATACAAATGCTTAAAGGGTAAAGCAAGGACCACATTTTAAAAAAAGGTCCATTAAAGCATCTCTAAAAACACATTCAAAGCAGTAAGGCACAACAATCCATTAAAAAAACAAACACTCAGGCAGCCAGTCACTGTGGGAAAGCTTGCCTGAAGAAAAAGGTGCAGCCGCAGAGAAGGCCCTTTTCTGAGTCCTCATCATATGCACCTGTGAAGGTGGGGGGGGGGACCCAGAGCAAGGCATCTCCTGAGGATCTTAACACCTGAGCAGGCTCCTGGAGGAGACGTGGTCCTTGAGACAGCTTGGGCCCAAGTCACTTAGGGCTTTACAGTCATATAGTCATGCCATGACCCAGAGCCCTGCTTGCACCCTAATGATCATTGACTCAGCCCCTGTCAAGCAGGCACAGTGCAGAACAGAACTCTCAACCTCTGGGCGATGCTTTGCTGATTCAGAAACCTTAAAGAACAGTTGCATGACTTCATAACAATGCTCCTCCGACAATCATTTAGACGTTGGCTTCTCATCTCTGCAGGTCCCAAGGGAGAAGATGGTTCTTTTCATCCAGGCCCCCGCATTGACACTGTGGTCCCCACCAACCTGGCCGGCTTGTCCCCTCGTCACTTTGTGGTGTACCGTTTCGGCTGCGCGGTGGTCCGCCTGCTGGGAAAAGTCTTCTCTTTCCCAGCAGTGGTACTCCTGCTGGCTCAAGAGATCCCCAAACCAGGCTCTGTGGAAGTTCAAGACACCCTTCCGTTTGCCAGGGATTCCTACTATGATGCTAGCAATAGGTTCCTGTACGTCTTGTCCTCACATCTGGAGAACGCTGGGGGATTTGCAGCAGTCGTGTTGAACGCCCTGGCGCACCTCAAAGCAGGTATTCTGGGGATATCTAAACAGTGCTCTTTATCCTGTTGAATCGTGTCTAACTCCACTGTAGGTCTTTTGCTTTGCACGATGCCTTCTCACATTTTTGGATATAAGCTGCCGGGCGCTCCCTGCTGTGTTTTCTTTCCCAGCTGCAATGAGCACCAGAAATACAAATATTGAAGGGCCAATGGCCATTTCTGCCCTAATTGGCCATCAAATAAAAGACATGCATCACTGCCCCACATGTTTCCAAGGCTGGCGTTTGCAAAACAACCCATGGTACTTTCTAATTATGGGTCTCAGAGAGTTTGGGGCAGCATAGAGAGCCATCTATGATAGAATTTTACAGATGTTATGTTGGGATAAGGCATGTAGCATTAGGATTATGAAACATTGCGTGATGCATCTCACCTCTGCATGCTGGCTGGGAGCGCGACAGCTGCTCAGCTGTTTTCCCCCCACAGTTAAGAGAAATTATGCTTTCATATCCTCAATATATTCAGCCTGTTATTGTTAACCCTGCCTGACAGAAGCTCTTCAACCTTTGAGACAGTCTTTTTGATTTTTGCACCTAGTGGGAGAATTTCACCTTACAAAGGACACAGAACCGCTGCAGAGAATGGCCGTCCTGAATACAGATGGGCACGAACCACCGATTCGGCGGTCCTTGCCAGTTCACTTATCTGCCAAACAGGTGTTTAGCACTTCAAAGACCTGCCTCCTCCAGCAGGCGCCCAATCAGAGGCAGCAAACAGAGGAGGTGGGGCAGGGAAGTCAGACTGCTGCCTCCAAGTGGATGCCCACCAAGGGAGGTGGGACTTTGAAGGGCTGAACACCTATTCGGCCAATAAACGAATCACCGAACTGGTAGTTCATGCCCATCTCTAGTCTTTAATGAGCTTCTTCTCTCCCCTCTTTGAAACTTCTGGATCCACTTACGCCACGTTCCTTACCTCTCCATCTAGCAATGTGAAGTGAGCACAGGAGAAAAGCATCCATTGTAACCAAGTAACAACATGAGTAACTCCAAAAGACATTGGCCAAAATCCAGTTGCTTAGTGTAGGGACTGGCCCTACGGAATCAATGGGGATTTGGTGAGTCGCCTTCTCTGCAAGTTCTGTTGATTCAATATGGATCTAATCTGAGACTTACCTTAGCGGTGGAACTTCTGAAGGAAGCCACCAAATCCTCATTGATTCAATGGGCCTACTTTAGAGCCATTTACCCACTCTAAGCAACAAGATTTGTGACATTGTCACTTCGAGCTTACATACAGAAGCCCCCATGTTTCTTAAAACATTGAAATCCTTTAACTGTTGATTCCATGGGCTGAACTAGGGCCCGTCTGCAGGTAGGACATAACACTGTTGAAGGCTTAATTGAACAATGGAAAATCGTGGTGAAATTCTGACAATTATCAACTCAAACGAGACTGTTACACCCTATGATCCGATAGTCTTTCCTCATAGTTAGGTGCAGGGATTTTTATTCTATGCAAGCAGAGGCGGTACTTAGCATGGCACTTCCTTCATTGTGTTACTGTCCTTCCTCCCTTGTTCATTTCCTTGTTTGGGTAACGTTGGGCACCGAAAGTATATATTGCTTTTTTGTAGACTTTTTCAAATCTCTTCCCTGGCTCTAATTTTCTGCTTGAGTGTTTTTAACTAGGTCTAACAAGAGTGGGAATGTTCCTATTTTTAACATGGTTCAACCCAAAAAATTTTTATCAGGCGCAAAATAGAAGGGATCAAGACAGTTTCAATGCAAATATAAAACACAGACCGTGCAGAAAGAAGCGCAGTTTCAAAGCAATCCTGTGAGTGTTTTACTCAGTCTAAGTCCCACTAAGTAGAGCTTGCTCCCACTTCTTAGATTGCAGCTAAATTTTCCCTTTTAAAAAAACACACTGGGAAATTAAACACCTCTGTCTAACTGAATCTTTGTCTGCCTGTCTTTCTCCCTCTCATTACTGAATGGGACTTAAAAACATTCAATTAGGGGCCAGATTGTGTCCATTCTCTGCTTGTCCAGTCTTTGTTTATTCTGCTCCACATGGGAAATTTATTTATTTAAAATATTTTTTTACCCCACCTTTCTCATTAAAAAAGGACCCAAGGTGGCTTATACCATTTAAAGAGAATATTCGAAGCTAAAAACAGTAAATATACAAATGGTTGCAGGAATTGAAAGACGGCAGGTGTAGAAACACCCCATTGGGAGAAATGAGTAAACTCACAGTGTCTCCAGAGTTATAGAAGAGATGGAGGGGATTTCCTTATATATATATATATATTCCTTTTTCTCCCCCTAAGCTGTGAGGCGCCTGTCCCTTTAAACAGTGGATTTTGGAAGGAGCTTAATAAAGCGATCGCTGCTCTAGCTGATGCCTTGTTCCAATGCTCCTGGGGATCTGCAGAGGCAACAGAGAGGGTAAATATCTTTCCATTGCTTCCAGGAAAATGCAGGTCCTAAAAATCCGGCTCCAAACCCCCTGGATCTGGCTTGGAACCAGGTCTCTCTTAGGGCTGAGACAGGAAAAGCCCACCATCTACCTGCAACTTGACCACCATTTTTTCATCTTAGGAAGTTTGGGTTTCTCGTTTCCAAGTTGCAAAAATGGATGGAGTGGGCAGAGACCATGCTGCCAGGTAGCGGTGGGAAGTTCTTTGGCAAGCCTGCCTCAATCTGAACTTTTCAGACCTCCTGTACCCTTTTCTAGCCAGCATCATGCTGGATAGCGGACTACACCAGTTTTGGGAAGATGGCTTTCTCGGGAGATGTTGCATCATCATGAAACAAGTCAAGTGATGCTTCCTACCTTCACTCTAGAACAGGGAAGTGGGTCTAGAACTGCCATTCTCAGTGGGGGGGGGGCTTTAAAACTAACGGATGTATTGTGCATGTGAACTTTGGACCTGGGTAGCATGGAAATGAGGTATCTATGGTGGACCTGATGGTAATGCCAGGCCTTAAAGATAGCATTGTGACTGGCATTGATTTCACAATAGAAGCTGGGACACACCTGTTTAATTTTTTTTTTTTACTGTGTATCTGGATCCTTGAAATGGTGTGTAGTTTAATACAATTTGTCATGTTGAATGGTGTTGCAGAGTTTTGAATTTCTGGTTACAATTCCTTTTCGTGGGCAGTAGGAAATACAGAGACTCACAGAGAGAGAACAGCTTCAAGATCTCCAGAGTCTCATTCACTGGCATTTAAGGTCTCAATAACTCCCTCTTAGACATTTATAGAAGAAAGATTTTAAAAAGATGTTTTTTTACTTGCAGCTGTGAACAGATCAATAGCAAACAATAACACTGGCATCCAACAGACTAAAGAGAGGGAAAGGGATTCTTAGCGAAAAGGCGGGACTCTCTTTGAATACAGAGGCAGGAGGGAACAATTGGTTAGTGCTGGGTAGATTGACAGCCACTCCCGCCCAGAAAAGCCCCTCCCAGCCACTCAATACCACAGGCAGCATGCAAGGCTGCAAATAAAACCAACAAGTGGTTCATAAGATGTTTAAGAGGGAGGATTCTCAAGGTGGGATATTTTCTTTAGCAGATGTCTCAGAATGAGGAGCTACCAGTTTAAATGCTGAAGATACATTTATCTTTTTCGTCCTTGCTTTGGGTTGTGAATAGGAAACCAAAGACTCAATTGCAAATCAGCGAAATGCAAAATAAATAAACAAACAGTAAAGGGTGGGGGAAGCTAAAGGTGTTCACAAGATCTTTAGCTCTTCCATATTTTTGATTACTATGCTTTCCGATGAGACCCCCCCCCCCAAAAAAAAAATGCTGCTCATTTTTCTATTGATCTTCCTTTCAGAACCCTATGAAAAATTACTCACCCGTTTGTTTAGCTGGCCGGTCGATTTTTGAAGAACTTCTGAGCATTCAGATGTTACCTAATCTGCACTTCCTTGAGAAACTCCTGCCGGAAAGGTATTAGGAATTCTTCCATTTAGATAACTAGCCCAGCCCAACAGGAGTGGCAAATAAATCATTTTCACCTGAGATGCTTGCTGTATATTGTTATATTAGTGCATGTATTGCAATAAGCCTTTTTTTCAGTTATATAACTGGAAAAATTTCCAAAGGGGAAATTAGTATATAACCAAGTTTGCTTTATAGGGTGTCCTCATTCTGTCTTCCTTGCTTTTTACATGGACAAGTAGCCCAGCCCTGTGTGTATTGCTTCTCTTCTTGAAATTTGCTGCCTTTGTGAAACCAAGGCATGCATTCCAAGACCTAAGGTGGCATTTTAAATGTGGCCAAGATTTAAAGAGTTCACTGTCTCCTGGTTCCCAACTTTGAGTCAGCCGTTCTGACTGAACTCCCAGGAAGCCTGGCCAGCACAGCTAGCGGTGAAGACTTCTGGGACTTTTGAGTCCTAGAACATCTTGGGGACCCAAGAATCCAAGTCACACCCCCACAATTCATATGCAGACTTTTAAAAAGAAACATCAGAGAAAAAAAGGAGCCAGAGTCTAATATTTTGGCACCCTGTAACCTTCTACTTAGTGTTCTTGCAAGACGAGCTAGAGAAAGAGGGTAAAATCCCCCCATGGGATGTCTTTGATGATGTGACTGTGAAGATTCCCAGTCATCCAGGTGATGTTATCTGGAAGCAGAGTCATAGCAACTACACTTCTTTCTTACTAGGTTGAAATATTTCTCTACTCATCCAAGTAGCTTCTTTAGTTTGAAGAGAGTTGGTAGGAGATCCCTGATAGATCTTCCATGCTGGTTTCACTTCCCCCTCGTCTGAATAGGCTGCTTAGATGGACAGAGGACTGGGGGTGAGGGATAATCCCACTTCTGCAGTCCTTCTCCACCCATTGTCCTGGGTCATTAACAGTGGTCTTTCTGATATGTGGTCCTGATATTTCTGGGGAGGGATGAAAGGGCAGCATGATAAATAGGAGACAGATTATGTCTCAGGCCTCCATCCCTGCTGAGCGAGGGATTTTGTATGTGCACATGTATGGTGTTGGTGATGTGCTGTGTACCAAGCACATCTCTTAGGGTTTTGATATATCCATATTTGGTGCCTGACTCTAGATGCTTTTGCTGATGGGATTTCAGACACACTGACAGGCCAAGGCCCAGGAAGGAACACTTATAAAGCAGGGATCAAGGGCCACACAAACAGGCACAGAACATTGGTTGCCCAGAATGAAATCATGTCTTTAAAAGAATGTATGTCTTACATTTCTGAACCAGAAGCTGTGTTTATTTATAATTTATTTGCAAGTACTTATGAGCTGCTTTGCTCCAAGGTTTTCAAACTACTGTGTGACTCTAACAAATCCTACTGTGTGTAAAACACAACAAAATGAGAAGAAACCAAAATGTATGTTGACCGTGGGAGGTCAATGGTAGGTTCAACTACAAAAGGTGCTTTGAAAAACAAACAAAAAAACCACAATGGTTTCAACATGTGTTTTTAAAACAGAAAGTGTTTTGGAATTTTGAATTCTGGAGGGGGGGGGGAATCCATGTAGTTGCTGATATGGGCTCCTGGCGTGAAAGAAGAGATCCTGATAACCACAACTGGAAATTTTCATAGTAATATATATATATCATGCCTTGGGGCACAGAATAAACAGTTATGAGTAATGGCTCAGATGTCTGGAGCTAAGTAAGAGATTATCAAACTCATTGCAGTAGAGTTAAAAAAGAAAATGATCCAGCCCACACAAATCAGAATCTGACCTGATCTTGTCTCCTGGTGGCATGTATTGGGGATAATCCACCTCGTTGTTACAGTCTTCATGAAAATATTGCTTCTGATTGGGCAGACTCAGGACAATGGCCAACCTGATTATGATGTCACTGGTCTGCTCCTTGTCTGTCTACAGGGGTGGATCAGATTGCCCATTGGCTCTTCTGACTGGAATAGGAGCCGTCATAATGCACAGCGGGTGGGTTACCAAGGAGGCGGGCTTATGAAGATGAGTTCCAGAATCTTGTCAATTGGAGGGTCAGCTGGTCTCTTTTATTTCTGATCTGGATTAGCTCTGGCACATTTAGCCACTGGTGCTAGTGGTGGGGCTGGCTTTTCCTTCCCCATCTTCCCCTGGATTATTGAGTTTGGGCAGGGCATTTACAAAGAAGAAAGAAAGAAAGAAAGAAAGAAAGAAAGAAAGAAAGAAAGAAAGAAAGAAAGAAAGAAAGAGGCTTATTCCTTAAATGTATGCATTGATCTCAGGAAACAAAGATGTTTCTTAGATGCCATGAACCTGGCCACCCCACACTGCTGTGTAAAGTGTGCGCTGTACCACTGCTGGACAGTGGCGGGTTCTTTAGTACAGTGGTCCTCAACCTTGGGCCTCCAGACATTCTTGGAGTTCAACTCCCAGAAATCCTGGCCAGCAGAAGTGATGGTGAAGGCTTCTGGGAGTTGTAGTCCAAGAACATCTAGAGGCCCAAAGTTGGGAACCACTGCTTTAGTACATGATGGCTCCTCTTAGAATCATCCATCACATTTGACTATGCTGCCTAAGGCTGATGGGAGTTGTAGTCAGACTACAAGTTGGAGGGTTGCCCTCTGCCTAACCGTGGTTTAGAAGGTGTGGGTTGTGTCATTTATTGCCAGAATTATCAAATGGAGAATCATCTATGTTGGGTACAGACAATACACAGAACTTAATGTTGGTTCTTTGAATGCAGACGGGTGTATGGTGAGTTAATAAATCAGAAATTGCCTTTATTTTTATTTTTTTTTAAATTCATCTCAGGTTGCAGCATTACAAAAGCTTCCTCTTGCAAGCTGAGCTTCAGAATGTAGTGGAAAATTCAGGGCAAAGCTGTGAGGAGGTATGTGGCAGTGAGAGAAAGGATCAAGAAGGTGATTCTTCTGAGCTCCAGGTACTTCTTTTGAATTAACCCATATTCTTTACAACTCATTTAATCAAAATCCTCATCTTAGAACTGCAGAGCTGGAAGGGACCCTATAGATCATCAAGTCCAGCCCATCAAGGAGGCACCGTGGGGGAATCAAACTCCAAACCTCTGGCTCTGCAGCCCGATGCCTAAATCACTCAGCTACAGTATCTAGCAGTTAAGAGCCCGAAAAACCCGCAACAACTATCTAGCAGTTCATTCATGTTTGCTTCTAGTATTTTTTTTTAGTAGTAGAGAAGGATGCTGTGAATCTGACTTTATTTCTTACTCACTCAGGCAGGGCTATGCTATGCAAAATAAATTGGCCTAGAATGGGAAATGCAAGTTTTAGCTTACAGGCCACAGACCTTTAATGGTGGACCTCCCCAATCCTCCATGCCCGCCCCACTGAATTCATCATGTTATAGGCCTTAAAATGTCTAAACAAGAAATGACTGGCCGGTTTGGGGTGGCAGGGTAGACAGGGGGCGGCCCCCTCCAAGGTCCAGGAGAGGCCAAAAAGAGCACCAAAAACAGAGGGGAGGGGAGGGAGGGCAAAATAAATTGACCTAGAATGGGAAGGAAGGAAGAGAAGACAGCAGTAGGCTCAGAGAAAGGAAGAACAATCAAAATCCTATTTCAGGATGAGCAAATTTTGAGAGTCTACAGGGCAAGGATTTTATTTCCAGTCCATGTCAATTTCACGTCTGCTCAATCACAAGTCCATCGTGTCTTGTTTGGTTGCAAACAGATAACATTTGTGCAAAGATCCATACTTGAATTAGGTGCAATTTCCTCTGAAATACTTTTGTTCTTCTTTCTTTTGTTTGCTTGTTTGTTTGTTTTGAGCTTATCACATCACGTTGCTGTCTATGCTGAACGCTATAGTGCTGTTCACCTTAGACAGCGCTACAGGTCTGCTAATACAAATACTACAAATACAACAAACAACAACAACAGCAGTAGCAGCAACAACAGCAGCAGCAGCTACAGCAGCAGCAGCAGCAACAACAACAACAACAACAAATAATAATAAATAAATAAATAAATAAATAAATGACAACAACAACAACAACAACAACAACAACAACAACAACAACAACAACAACAATAATAATAATAATAATAATGATAATAATAAT